TCAAGTTTATAAAGGCATAATTTATATAGTAAAATTCACCCTTTTTAGATATACAGTTGTATGAATTTTTATACTCTTTATACAGTCATTTAACCACCACATCAAGACATAGATCATTTCCATTACTCCAAAATATTCCCTCCTACTGTTAGAAAAGACAAGGATCTCAAGATCTGAGCAGTTCTTACTAAATGCTATTCTTGCTAAACGTTAAAATGTAGCACAGGGGGAGGGGGTAGGTAGACCAGGGGAATAAAAAGAGAAAAAAAATTAAATCATTTCTTCAATTAAAAATAAGTAAATAATAAAAAATTTTTAAAAATTAAAAAATAATAAAATGCAGCACGGTATGTTGCAGAAGTAGCTGTAACCAGATGAGCTTGATGGGAACCCAACCAGATAAGTTTGGCTAACTGAAAAGAAGAAATCCACATGTAATTAACCAAATAGTATATATAAGCAGTGGCTAAGCCTCCCTTCAGAGAGACAGAGCTCAGAGCTTTGGGTATGAATCCCTCCTTTATTTGCTGCAAGTAAATAAAACTACCTAATGACAACCATCTTATTCTTGAATAGAACACCCCAAGCAAGAAACCCCTTGAGTTCAGTAACGGTGCCATTATGAAGCCAGTCTTCTCCCCAACCCACCCCCTAGAAATCACTGATCTGATTTCTGTCTCTATGGTTTTGCCTTTTTCAGGATGTTATATAAATAGAATCACATACCATGTAACATTTTGAAGCTGGTTTTTTTCACTTGACATGATGCTTTTGAGATTATGTTATGGTGTGAGTTAGTAGCTCATTCCTTTATATTGCTGAGTCATATTCGATCATATGGATGTACCCTAATTCGTTAATCCACTTATATCTTAGTTGTTTCCGGGTTTGGGCAATTATGAATAAAGTTGTTATAATCATTCATATATAAGTTTTGCATGGGCATATGTTTTCATTTCTTCAGGATAACTAGGGGTGGGATTGCTGGGTCACGTGGAAGTTGTATGCCGAACTGTTTTCCACAGTGGTTGTACCATTTTGAGTTCTCACCAGCAATGTATGAGTTTCCGTTGCTCTGTGTACTTGTCAGTATTTGGTATTGTCGTATTTTTTATTTGAGCTGTTTCAGTAGTTATGTAGTAGTATCTGATTGTGGTTTTCATTTTCATGTTCCTAATGACTAATGATGTTGAGCATTTTTCCATGTATTTGTTATCTATATATCTTCTTTAGAGAAGTGTTTGTTCAGATCTTTTACCCATTTTAAAACTGGGTTATCTGTTCTGAGTTTTGAGAACTCTTTATATATTCTGGTTAACAATACTTTATCGGATATGTGTTTTGCAAATATTTTCTCCCAGTCTTTATCTTATTTTCATTTTCTTAACAGTGTCTTTCAAAGAGGGTTTTTATTTGGATGAAGTTCAGTTTGTCAATTTTTTTTATGCTTTGTGCCTTTTGGGTCCTATTCAAGAAATCTTTGTCTAACCCAAAGCCACAAAGATTTTCTCCTGGAAGTTTAATAATTTTAAAAAGATTACATTTAGGTCCATGATCTATTTTGAGTTAATTGCTTATATATGGTACAAGGTATAGGTCAAGGTTCTTTTTTTGAACACAGATGTCCAGTTATCTGCATCTTGATAAATCTAGGGAGGAGAGCCATGTGCAGAGCAAATCGTAACATGATGAAATGGTAGGCACTGCCAGAGAGGGAGTGCTGGAAGCCCCAAGAGGAGAGCTAGTGGAGATTTGGGGACAGCCTTACAGAAAGGCAGTGACTCACAAGCAAGGCCTTAAAGGTTGACAGCAGAGAAGATGGAGAAGTGTGGTATAAGGACAGCGAAGGCAGGGCAGGTAACAGTGTGAGGGTATATAAGTATCTAGAGTGCCAGAGCATTGAGTGTGGGGAGGGGCAGGATTAGAGGTGAGACTGGATGAGCAAGGTGGTTTGGGCAGGAAGCAGTTTTCAGGAAGATCAGTCTGCAGACTGAAATGGAAGTTAGAAAGAAGGCAGGGAGCCAAGTGATGTAGGAGGAGTGGGGATGCAGCTTGAACTCCGGAGTAGCTGTAGGGATGGGTTCAAGGAGACAGAGTCGAGAAAATTTTAGGGATAAGGAGTCTGACTCTCTCCCGGGTCTCAAGCTCGGACAGCTTGGTGGCTGAGAAAAGTAGGTTTGGTGGGAAGAGGAATTCTGTGTTAGGCTTCTGGTACCTACGGGATATCCAGGTGGAGATGTCCTGGAGGCAGGGTACTCACCAGAGACTGTATCTCAGTAATATTAGTTCGTCCCCACCTAACCACAAACCCTCTGTCACAGTCATAAAGCTCTTCAGCCCCCCAGAGGTGCCAGTTCCTGCCCACTCCTGTCATTGTGCCTTTCACAGTGAGGCCTGTGCATTTGTGATGGTGGACATTGGAGTGCTACCACTAAAAAATAGGGGCTTGAAGGGCTGGGCTCTGTGATTTGTGGGTATGGGTAGAATACTGTAGAAAGCCCTAGGAGGCCTGCCTTCCCAACAGCCTCCACTCCTACTGACTGTGAAGCTCTCTGTGCTGCTCTCCGTAGACAAATGACCGAGCCATAAGCTGCGGGTGCGGGGGAGAGGAAGACAGGTGTTCTGCTGTTTTTACAAACAGAGAAATAGTTTGGGTACCTACCCAAGGTCCCCCGGGTACACCCTGTAGCTCCTATCTTCCTCACCCCAGTGTTCTGAGCTCTTCAGCACTAATGCCCAGAAGAGATGGGTCTGCGGTCCACAGAACTGTCAGGAAAGACAACCCAGTCTCTGTGACACCTGAGCCTACTCTTTCCATGGCACTGAGCCACTTCACAGAGCCAGGGCCTTAAATGAAGGAGAAATCAAGGAGAGAGAGAGAGAGAAACTATATGCAACTTATTATCTAGAAAGAAAAGGGGGGTTCTAGAATGAGGAAGGGGGTGGCCTACTCCAGGGCTCCTACCTATCTTGGCCCTCTAGAGAGAGAATTGGCCAGACTCAGCCCCAAAGCCAAGCACCCAACTGTAGTTCTCCATAGAGCAGCTGCCCCTTCCTCAGGCCCCTCACCCCACCCTTCTCTGTTGGAGCTCCCCACTGTCTCGCAGCCCATCTGCTTCAGGCTGCTGGTGACGATTTTGTAACTTTATCATCAGCTTGTTTCTCTTCAGAGACTCCAGATGGTTAATGACTTTCTACAGTATCAAAGTGCCTCATTAAATAGGGATACGATCACAAGAGGACCCCTGCTTCAGACAGTTGGGTGGGGCAGCCAAGCATCTCCATCTACCCAGCATGGCCTACATTCTTCAGCCAGGAGTACGGGGGTCTCAGAGCAGTCAGCCTCCTCAGGAGGCAGACATGTGGTGAGAAGTACTCTGTCCTGCTCACCACCCTTGAGAGTGACTTTGGGAAAGTCACCCTCAAACCTCTGTTTTTCCATCTGGACAGTAAGTGTGCCAAGGATTCATTCTCAACCTAGTCCCACAATGCCTGGTACATCTCCCCTGCCACCACACCATCACTGCCTCTTGTCTCGGTCTCCCCTGCAGGCCTGAGCTCTTCTCAAGGGTAGCACTGGGGTCAATTCCTCTCTGTACCACACACACACAGCATCAGGGGAAGACTGCTGAATCCGTCCCATAGGTTGGCTCTTGAGAAAGTATCATGTTGGAAGCAGAAATGGTATATACCCTGCTTTCTAGAACCTTAAGGAGAAGTTAGAACACAAGACTTCATGTTGAAGGAGACACACCATCCCTAGACACTGGAGGCTGTGAGATGAGGCTTTGTTAAGGAGAGAGTAAAGAGCCCTCAGGAAGGGTGCTCAGTGGCAGACTCCACATTTGCACTGACCTCAAAGCAAGTTTCAGAGGAGGCCAGGTGCCATCATGAGGATGAGAGTCCAGAAAAAGGTGTCATAGAGTCCAGAGGGCTGAGTGACCCGTTGTAGGCCTGGTGGATTGATAGAAATGACACTAATTATAGCCACTTCTTGTAAATTCTTTGAGATAGGAAAATAAGAAGGCAACATTGGTACAGCAGGAGCACTGGACTTGGAGTATATATTTCAGAGCATTTACTAAGTACTTACAGTGTACAATTCTTTGGCTAGTATTTATAGATTTTTCTCTCACATATAAAAGAACTGGGTTTAAATCCTGGCATGACCCTTCATCTCTCTGAGTATGGGGAATGAATTCAAGCACAGTTTTCTTCATCTGCACAAGACAGATAGATGGTGATATTATCTATGTCAAAAGATATATGACCATTATGTAAGCAAATGTAAGAGCAGGTAATAGAGCATTCAGTCCAGGCACATCTACTCTCTTTCCTTAGGCCAATGTTTTTCTGTCCTAACTGAACATTTAGAATTACTGAGAGTATGTTTTAAAAAGACCAATGCTAGGGCCACATTCCAGACCAATTAAAACAATCTCTGGAGGGCGGGACCCAGGCTTTGTTTTATCTTTTCTTTTTTAACTTCGTAGTGAACCTAAAATGTTTTAGACAGTGTGGCAATTATCACCCATCCACTTGTTCAAGTATTAATTCATTTTGACCCCAAGGACTGTAGGCTTGATCTACAATAAGAAGTTGAAAATTGTGAGTACCCAGATGTTATAGACTGAATATTTGTCTCCCAAAATTCATGTTGGAATCCTAACCTCCAGTTCGATAGTATCAGGAAGTAAGACCATTGGGAGGTGATTAGGTCATGAGGGTAGAGCCCTCATGAACAAGATTAGTGCCCTTATAAAAGGGACTCCAGAGAGCTCTCTTGCCCCTCTGCCACGTGCAGACACAGCAAGATAGTCCCTACCAGATACCAAATCTGCCTACACCTTGATCTTGGACTTCCCAGCCTCCAGAACTCTGAGAAACAAATGTTTGTTACTAAGCCATTGGTCTGTGGTATTCTGCTATACCAGCTCCAACAAACTAAGACACCAGCTATGGTTGGGTAATGGTCATTTCTCACTTTTCTCCCTCTCTAGGACTACTTCCCAGCACCCCAGCCTTCTGCCATGTCTGACCCCATCACACTGAATGTCGGGGGAAAGCTCTACACAACCTCACTGGCAACTTTGACCAGCTTCCCCGACTCCATGCTGGGTGCCATGTTCAGTGGGAAGATGCCCACCAAAAGGGACAGCCAGGGCAACTGCTTCATTGACCGTGATGGCAAGGTGTTCCGCTACATCCTCAACTTCCTGCGAACTTCCCACCTGGACTTGCCCGAGGACTTCCAGGAGATGGGCCTGCTCCGCCGGGAGGCCGACTTCTACCAGGTGCAGCCCCTGATTGAGGCATTGCAGGAGAAGGAGGTGGAGCTCTCCAAGGCCGAAAAGAATGCCATGCTGAACATCACACTGAACCAACGTGTGCAGACAGTCCACTTCACCGTGCGTGAGGCACCCCAGATCTACAGCCTCTCCTCCTCCAGCATGGAAGTCTTCAACGCCAACATCTTCAGCACCTCCTGCCTCTTCCTCAAGCTACTCGGCTCTAAGCTCTTCTACTGCTCAAATGGTAATCTCTCCTCCATCACCAGCCACTTGCAGGACCCCAACCACCTGACTCTGGACTGGGTGGCCAATGTGGAGGGCCTCCCAGAGGAGGAGTACACTAAACAGAACCTCAAGAGGCTCTGGGTGGTGCCAGCCAACAAGCAGATCAACAGCTTCCAGGTCTTTGTGGAAGAGGTGCTGAAAATTGCTCTGAGTGATGGATTCTGCATCGATTCTTCTCACCCACATGCTCTGGATTTTATGAACAATAAGATTATTCGATTAATACGGTACAGGTAAAAGGATCCCAGCCACCCTGGAGTAGGGCTCCGAAGAAGCTCCGTGTCAGCCAAGATCTTGAAGAGCACCTCACTGGCGGTGTAAGGCAGGGCGCTGTACTAATGTGTATTAATCGTGTAGCAGGACTTGATCCCCCCGTGATGCAGTCCACCTGTAGGAATATATGTGTCCTCTCAACAGAGCCACCTTTTTCTTGCCATTTGGAGCTTAAGATGAGCAGTCCATTATGACAAGTGAAGAATCTACCAATGTGTCCTAAAGGAGGCCACAGGAGGACTTTCTGGCCAAACAGAGGAGCGGCAGTTTTGTCATGGGCTCCATCTCTCTTTGTACCACTAGGCAGTGCCTCACTTTAGCCATCTGTAATAAGATCCTCTGGTGGAAGGGATGGAGTGAGAACAAAATGCTCCCTGCAATTTCGCGAGATGGAAAGTACTCAGAAATTCCCATCATACCTTCTCCTCCATCCAGAAGATATCAAGAGGACCCTGGATTAGTTTGCCTGAGGGTGACCATGTTTGACTGGCTTAGAAATGCAGTATGTTCTCAAAGCTGTCTTATTGGCTGCCTCTGGGGGACAGAATTGAGCAATGGCATGGCCTAGAGGAGTGAGCGTCTAGGCAGGGTCTAGAAGACGGGAAAATCCCTCTTGACTGGGTCAAATCTAAGCATTTGGGGATTTCTGGCAGAAATGGGCTGCTGTCCCTGTGAAGGTTGGAAAATCTGGAGCCAGTGCAATGAAAGGCATTTCATATCATGGCCCATTACCTGACTTTTGTAATCCTTTTCCCAAGAATTTGAGTTACCATTGAAACAAGTCATTTAAATCATATTATGGACTCTCAGGGTTGGAAAATCATTCAACAGTCACTTAGTCCTCCCTTACCCCAGCATACCCCAGTACATTTGGGGATGAGTGCCTCTCCCCAATTCCTCCAAGCTATCACTTATCCCTACTTCCATACCTCCAGTGACAGGAAGCTCATCATCCCTAAGGCAGGCCCTGCCATGGTTGGCTGGTGCTGGCTGTTAGAAAGTTCTTACTGAGCCAAAATCCTTCCACTCCCATTTTCTGGTCTTGGTTCTACTGTCTGGTTCTTCTCACCCAAAGATATATTTTCTCTTTCAAAATTGTCACCTTGAAAGATCAGACACTCATTCGGAAAATATTATTAGGATTCCCCTTTGGGATCTGTCTTCAGAACCAAGGTTGGCCCTCTTCCATCCCCTATAAGTCAACCTTATTTTGTTATGGCTTTGCCTCCTTTGTGACCCGCATTTTACCCACCTTCCTCAACAGCCACGACTCCATGTACCCTTTGACATCTGTTGGAGGAGGAAGATTTGCTGCCCCTGAGAAAGTGCTGCCAGAGGAAGCAGAGTCTCAGAAGGCAGTGTGCAGCAAGGAACCCAGAAGTGGTCTGAACCATAACACTGCCTTTGGAGTAAGTGTCCAGCCCCTAAGACACTGCTCTGAAGAAGGTGGCTTTCCCATGTAGTACTGCTTCTGGTCATACCCAGTCCATGGACATCCTTGGGGTGAAATCCAGGGCAAGGCACCCCAAGCTACTACTTTCTAGGGTGTGATGAGCAGTGCAGGCCTCAAAACTGCACATTATGATTCATCCCTAGAGTGAGTATGGTCTTGGGAGTCCCAGAGTCTTCCCCACTGGACAGGGGCCCTCAGAAAAAGTCAGGAAAGCCTGGGGACAGAGGCGCACACAGAAGATGGTCCAAAGAAGGGGCTTCCCATAGTTGTGCCCTGAAAGTAGGGAGCTTGTACACTAGGTCATGGGCAAGGCCACATCCCTTAGGTGATAAAGGCCTTTTCCCCCAGCAGTGGGGCCCAAGAGTCTCTGACAGCTGTCCCAGGCCACCAGGCCAACAGTACTTGAATGGAAGCTGTGACCACAACAAAAATAGTTGAAGAAATCGTAAATTACCACTGCCCTTTATCCCTCTCCATAAAAATTCTCTTTCTTCATCTTTTTGGTGCTTCTTAATTCAAGCAGCTTGACTTTAGAGAAAGTACAGGACCTATGAAGCCACTAATGTGCTATGTGACTTTATGCAAGTCACTCACCTCACTGAGCCACCTCCGTTTCTTCACCTGTGAAATGGGCATAACAGTAAAACATAACCCTACCTACCTCACAGGGCTGTTGTGAGGATCAAATGAAATAATGTTATGTAAGAATACTATATAAATCATTGTTATTATTTTATGTCTGCTTATAAGGGAAAAAACCCTGGCCTTGGAGCTAGACTAACCTGGGTTTGAATTCTGGCTTCATTACTTGCTGTGTAACCTTGAATAAGTCACTGGGCCTCTGTGATTTGTTTCCTCATCAGACAACAACCCCCTCTCCCACTGTCACACAACTTAAATGAAGTACATGTGAAAATTCCTAGCTAGGCCTGGCACACAGGAGCTCAATAAATGCTTGCTCTTTCAGGAAGTAATAGTGATGGACTGTTATGCAGGGGTCACCATGAGAGTACACGTTAACAAGCCCTTCCGGAGCACTTCATGTATGAGCCCTGAGAATGGAAACAGCCGCAAGTAAGTTCCATCTGAAAAAAAAGCCTAGAGGTTCACACGACCTGTTGTGGAAACTTGGGGAAAGAGCTTAATTCTCAGAAAGGGCTTAATGGATGGTGGAGCTGGGCCTTTAAGGGTAGGTTGAACTGTGAAGGAATAAGCTAAAGAGGGCACAGGCACAGGAAATAGCATGAGCAGCAGCCTAGGAGCCAGGCAGGAGAGGTGAGCCTTCACAGAGCCATAGCACAAGTGGAATGACAAGTGGTGAAACTCAGCACACTGTGGAGTGTGCATGCATCTCACTTAGTTGAGTACAGCTATCTGCTTAGCAGAACTGAGAATGAACACTGAGTGGTGGCAGGCAACACCATCCCAGGGGACTCATGAGTCAGAATGTAGACTGGGAGGCAAGGATGTGCTGCTGCATGTGAGCCCCTCATGGTCCTGAGCAAACCCTGATGGTGATCAGTGATCTCAACCAGACTCCATTTATTTAGCTTTTTTCATAGCTGAGAGCTTTGTCCCAAGTGAAGGGCAATTCCAGGCACACATGAGTTTGTCACCTTTCTATTTGCCCTAGGCATGGTCCCAGGCATTCAGAGGGATGGTCAGAAAGGGTGCTCGAGGGAACCCTAAGGCACCTTGATATGACCGCTTTGTGAGGACTGCCACCAAACAGGACCCCTGCAATGCTCGAAGGCCACCACTGGCCACCACCTCAGGCACTGCTCCCTGTAACCTCACACCCTCAGGACCACCTAAAGCTCTTTACCCATTTATGAAAGACAGGCATTGTGATCCTCTGTTTTGCCTTTGGGCCAGAGCTCCCTATGCAGAGGTGACCATGGTTCCCACTCTTGCCCATACAACAGTGGCCAACACAGCCCTGAGGGCCGGGATGTGGTCACATTGCTTTGTAAATGGCTATGTGGCCTAAAACACAGCATGTGTAACTGCCCCTTTGTTCACCAAACTTCCAGCTTTCTTATACAAATTACTTCTAAAATAGGCTACTGTGAATGGGAGCTTAGACAAGGTCAGCTTTGTCCAAGGTCAGCCTCTTGGCTCACAAGGCCAGAGGACCAGCCCATCCCTTTCCTGAACTGTGATCTCTTCACTGGGATTGCCCATGTCTGCCTGTGTGTCTGAGGGCTCTATGCTGATGAGGGTGGCTGGCAGGGAAATGAGGCCCCATGATTGTCTGAAGAGCAAAACAATCTTGATAACAGGCTCACCCAAGGGAGGGGCCCAGGCTTGTTTCCAGGCCCCATAGGGTCCTGGCTGTAGCAACTCTGTCTGCCCAGACAACCCAGTGACCTCAGTCTCCTTCAGAACCTTCAAGGCAGTGTAGCACCACACAGAGCTGAGGAGATAGTCTGGTAACATGCGCAGCCTAGTCTGGGGCTAGTCTTAGGAGGCCCTAAGGAGAAAAGTTGTCTTGGAAGCCGGAGGATCGCCGAGCAACCCATAGCACCTAGGACCCCACCTGATACAAAAGACAACAAAACGAGCTCTGTAGTAGTACTATCTTGCTATGACTTCTGAGCAAGAAATGCATGCCCACCCAGGTGTATCTGACTCTCACTGCCCTGTCTCCTGGTCCTACTTCCTGCCAACTTCCCTGGTCCTTTTACCCCAATATACAAGGCATTCAAAGCCTTCATCAACACTTCCCAGTTAGCTGGCAGCCCTAGAGTATTCTAACCTATTATGCCAGGTTCTTGCCCAAAGCCTAGGTTCCCTTTTACTGAGGTTTTGGGTAGAGGCCCAGTTGAGTCGTATTGGAAATACTTTAAGGATCCTGCCAGCTAAAGACAAAGGTTAATGTGTTGTGACATGGTACTTCCTCACCAACCCCAATTAGTTCACTTTATAAATCTAGTATTGGATTTGCTAAAAAAAAAAAAACACGCCCTTTTGTCTGGCACCTCATAGGTTATCAAGCACCTTTATATCCATGGTTTTCATTCACAGAACCACAAAATATGCCATGCCATCCCACATGTCTGGTGGGCTGCCCTTTACAACTTTGTCTTCATAGCAAACATCTGCTCATCCTTCAACAATGCGTGAGCCTTGCCTCCTTACCTCACCAAGCAGAGTTAGTCCCCCCGCTCTTTGTGTCACTCCATACTTGGGGATGTCATTTATCATACTGCAGTTGTTCACAAGCAGTGTTGTGCTGGTAAAAATTTAACAACCAACTGTCTAGGGGGAAAGCTCTGATTTGTAGCATTGTCCAGTTTCCATGGTATAAATACTCTCACCAAGTTCAAGCTACCAATGTGATGTCACTCATCATCCAGGAAGAGAGGAACACAGTGGGTTCCAGAGAGCCAGCGTGAACCAGCCCCAGCCACCTCCATGCCTCCCACTGAACTGTATGCTTGTGAGGGCAGAGGCTCTGTCTTGCTCTTTGTATCACCAGTGCCTTCCACACAGAAAGTGCTCAATACGTTTGAGGTGTTCAATATGTATATGCCACCTGTGAAGTAAGACATTTGTACCCCCATGATGTCCTCTCTTGCTCAAACTCCTTCCTGCTCAAAAATTTTGCTCAAACTTTTTCCTAAGGTACAAGAAAAAGTCCAAAGTTCCTAGCTCTTTAAAGACAGGCTTCAGCCTACTTTAAGAGCACAGATTCTGGAGTCAGACTACCTGGAATCAAATCCTGTCTTTCTCACTTCATGGCTGTGTGACCCTGGACAAGTTACTTAACCTCTCTGTTTCCTTATCTTGAAAGTGGAGATAATAGTACCCACCTCATAAGGTATTGCAAGGGTTTGATGAGGTAATACAGCTATAGCTTTTTGAACAGTGCCTTGAGTGTAGTAAATGCTATACTTATTACACTAATAATAATAATTACTATTATTACTATTTTCTGTTATCTTTTATTGCTGTCTTTCTTGCCTACTCCCTTAGTGCCCTGTACATAATCTACATGATTTGTATCTCCTGACCTTTTCCCAATCCACTCACAGTGCTCGGAGTGGCCTACTCTCTCCTCTCCAGTGACCCAAACCCCATCCATCCACAGTGGACACCCTTCTTATCCTCCACCACCCTTTCACTGAGCCCTTCCCTCCTCTTCCAGTGCCCATCTGCTTGGCATCTCCATGGGTCTGGCTGAGAATCAGATCACATCACATGTTCTGTTTATTCACATACTCTGTTAAAAACACCTGCCATATGCTAACCCCAGGGCTGGGCTCTGGGT